CCCCCCCCCGAACAATATGTAGTACATCTCTGAAATACATGCACATTTGCATGTGTTCTTCTTCTTTAAAGACTATGCAAGTAAATTAAAATACCTGTTGATCGGCTCATCTGCACTCAGCTATTACCTATTGTGAGTGGTGTCAGCCCTGCCCAGTTTTATTTAGCTTAACTGCTCAATTCACCCTGCGGTGTTCATCTTCAAAGCATAGGTACTGATTGACTTGTAGTCCTAAGATAAGTACTGGGAGGGCTTAATTGACTATTCAAGATAACTCAAAGTGTGCACAGGAGGATACAGGCCAGCTTTGAATCTCTGAATTTTTTCCCGCTTATAAAACAGATATAACAAATGCTTTCAATTGTTATTTAACAGACCGAAATTGAGCCAATTAGAGAAGTTCATTGTTAGGGTTTACACTTTAAAATGCCAAACTGCAGTCACTAAACATAATTCAATAAAAAGGTCAACATTTGCATTTTTTTCTGTTTTTGTTGCCTATTTACTAAAATACTAATTACACTGCTCCTGTGGCATGCAACTGTGGATTTAAGCAGCATGTAGTTCAACATTCTGGATATCAACTCTAAATAGGTGCTTTTATTAAAGTACTTACAGTTATTCCCAGTGGTGAATAAATACCACCAAAAGAAAGCTCTATCTGTCCCCAAAAAAGGGTATAAAATTCATTTCAGTACAGCGCTGCATGACGGAATAAATGTCAGTCAAAGTACCGCAGCGCTGAATACTGAAAAATGGCCTGGATGGGAAGGGGGTTTAACACCGCGGATGTCAACTGGTTAAAACATTAATATATTACACTGTAGAATTGTATTATGCACTGTTATCAATACTTGAATTTCCCTTGATTATGTTTATGGTAATTTATAAAGATGTTTTATACAAGCTCTGATGCTAGCACTAAAATACTAAATGCAGAGCCATTTATCTCGGATTATATTTATATACAGGATCACGTGGGCAAGAAATAACTGTGACTGGCTCTGAGTCATCACACTGTTTCCCTGGACTGAACCCTGACACAGAATACACAGCCACAGTTTTTGTGCAAACCCCGAACCTTGAAGGTAGAGGAGTTTCAACCAATGAGCGAACCTGTAAGTACATTTTTCTATTGTACTTTTCATAATGAGAAAATGTAAATCAGGAATATTACCTAAACCATTAGAAAATAGAAGATATTCCCAGATTTCTTTTTATCTTGCATCGGCGGGTGCCATTCCTTGATATTCTACATTTAGTAATAGTTTTGGAGTGAATCATTAATTTATTTGGCAGTGTTAGTTTTCAGTGTGCTATATTGTTATATTTAGTGCCATTGTTCGAAGTTATAACCAATGTTTCTCCTTGTTCTTGGTGCTGAGAGCTTCACACTATTATGGCGAGATCTAATATTATGCTCTAAAGCAGGGTTTCTCAACCTTTTTTTAGTCATGGTACCCTTAAAAAGTATGCAAAATCTTGAGGCACCCCAGTCTACAAAATGGTGTTGGACTCCATGCAAAAACACATGAAAATGTGGGGTTCCATCCTTTCCATCAAAGTCCTACTTTTAAATCAAGAGCCCCCCTTTCGCATCTTAATTCTTCCTTTCATATCAGAGTCCCCCTTACTTCAGTAGCCCCCTTCACATTAGAAGTTCCCCTCTTTTCACATCAGAAGCCCCCCTTTACATTAAAAGCCCCCTTTACATCAAAAATCTCCTTTCAAGTCAGGAGCCTCTCACCTCAGAAACCCCCTTTATTTCAGAGCCCCCCTTTCATATCAGAATCACTCCTTTTACATCAGAGTTCCTCATTCACATCAGGGTCCTACATCACAAAATTTCAAGACACCCCTGAGGAATCCAGAAGGCACCCCAGTGTGCCACGCCAATCTGGTTGAGAAAGGGTGCTCTTAAAGATCAAGTGTCTCAGCCTCTTTTCTGTAGCTTGTCTACAGTACATTTACGTGTATGTATGAAAAAGAATGTTCTTGATATCTTTCTGTGTAATTATAAAACACGTTGTTGCATACCAGAGCCATAAAATTCTTTGATATATGAACGTTTTGTGTTCTAAGCTATAATTTGTCTTAAGTGGTTTCAAGATGCAATATGACATTTGTGATTATCTCTCTGTTCAAGTTAAGCAAAATTGTTAGCATTCATATTACATTGCAATTGTCTTGACACGTATGTTGTTTGAGTACTATCCAGTCATTGGTTTATACTTTCACTGGCCTATTTCATAATTCCATCACTTTGCTATCAGTGATACTTATGTTTTTTTTGCATAGTGATAAAACCAACAGAAGCACCTACAACACCTCCTGCCCCTCCTCCACCACCCACAATACCTCCAGCTCGTGAAGGTACGTATTATGCTATTTGATTAGTAACTAATAACACTACCCAATATTTTATAATAAAAACTGGAACAGTTAAGCTCTGTTCCTGATTATACTCCACATGAAATTTGTATGTATGCAGTCAATAATCATGTCTCTTTTGGCAGCCAAACTGTTACATGCCATGTATTAATAGTACACAATGTGTTTCTTTGACTTTAATTACTGTGTAAAAGTGTTTGACATTGGATGGCTTTTATAAAAATGGTTATATATCAATTAACATAATCAATGTACAGCAATTCATAATCACATTTCAGGAATCATATGAACAATTGCACAAAACTCTTTCTCTTTCCATGGATAGTGTCCCAATATTGCTCTGTTTTTAGACCTTACCAATAGAACAAAGATATGTAAATACACATCAGACTTGGCAAGTATGATTTGGGTGGGAAGCTTATTGAGTATTACTGTAAATGCCCTGGCATTTCATAGTACAAACTACCAAACTGGCATATGCATAAATCTTTTTACTATGCCAAAATACTTGCGTAGTTTGGAAACAGTGAAAGTTTTTTGGAATACAAATAAAACCCATGCCTCTCCTCCTAAATGATGTCAATTCAGCATAACAGTCATAATCACCAGTATTTTCAAAGCAGTCATGCGGTCTCAATGGAATGCAAATACCAGCAGGCATACCTTAGCATTGGCCAGGAGCTTTAAGAGGCAGGTCCTAAAAATAGGGTCTTGTTTTTAGAAGGCCAACACAGTGCTATGGAGCTCTCGTGAGTAGCTAATGCTCCAAAAAGGTGGTATGGGAATGTGTGCCAGGTAAATTGAAACCCTTTACCCGCTGAACTAGTAAATATGTTTAGTCGACTTTGCATTGGGTGAATGGGTAAGGGAAGTAACCAATAGACAAGCAACAGATTTTAACTTTACTTAAAAGGAAAACACACTACTAATCAGCTTGTTAGAGAAAGCATTCAGATAGTTCAACTTCTGTTTTCTTTGTCCTCTTTTTTAAGAAAAACCCATCCTCTGTTGGAAGACTTAGGGGGACCTGTAACACTGGATGAGATTTTTGTTTAAAGAGGAGATATGTTGCAAGTTGGGGAAGATAGAAGACTTTTTCTATCTCTCTTTTTTGCTTAGGTAGAGAATGAGGCGGGGTGGTAGTTTTTAAATTTTTTTATTACTGCACTACCTTTTTAGGTACCAGTTGTATGGAAAAGGCTCAGGCTGGTATTTAGGCAGGGGTTCTCTTTTTTGTAGTTTTCCCTCTTGATTCAGCTGAGTAATTCACTTATAAATATTCTGTTTTAATGCATTTTTATCTGTTTTCCATAAAGTTAAATAAATGTCACTAATAATTGTATCCAATAAAAAATAACCAGACTATTAGTGTTAATTTTTGTTTTGTTTTTCTTTAGTGTGCAAAGGTGCAAAAGCAGATATAGTTTTTCTGATTGACAGCTCCTGGAGTATTGGTGACGATAACTTCAACAAAGTCCGCCAGTTTATTTTTAACACCATTGGAGCATTTGACGTCATCAATCCAGCTGGAATCCAGGTGAGAACAACTGCAACATACTTTTGCGCATCAAAGGTAAAACACGATGATGTCAGTAATATTTACTAGCAGCTCCTAAGAGGTTCCAATATAATGCCCACTAGAGGGCAGGATAGTGCCTCTACCAAGCTTAGAGAAAAGGAAGGCCAGGATAGTAGTGATGTAATGTAAATGTAAATCCTTGGTTTGTATCCAGATTTGCTTAAAAACCTTAACTACAAAAGGCTGCAAAATAATGAATACCTATTTTTCTACAGGTATCTTATGTACAGTTCAGTGATGAGGCACAAACTGAATTTAGGCTGAATACCTATGCAGAAAAATCACAAGCACTGGGAGCGCTTGCTAATATCCGATACAAGGGAGGAAACACAAAAACAGGTATTACACAAACTGCACTTTAAAACTGTTGGCTTTATCAATGCACTTCAGCAGAACTCCACAGGAGTTGCCTTTTTTTAAAAAAATATCGTAATATCAATAGGATTTCGGTGGCTGAGCTTGTTAAAGCTAAACACCAGCCAAAATGTTGGTTTTTGTTCTAGTTTTGGATAGAGTCAGGATTGGAGGGGTAGAAACACAGTCTGACAGGTGTCAAGAAGGTGAGGAATGAAGTAAAGGTTAGATGTAATGTTAGGTTTGTATGGCAATCTCAGTCTCTACTTCAGATGTCCTACATCCTATTCATGCCTGCAGAGAAAACAGAGATAAATGGAAATAACCAGGCACCCCCCATCACCCAACATGCACGGAAAGGCGGATGCGAATATGGGGTGAATGGAGAACTATGCAGGGGTCTCACACTTTTTGTTCTCCATACAACTGAAAAACCTTGCACAGAGCACAGAAGGTATACTTACTAAAGAGATGATGGAGTTCAAAGTGGTCTTTGCCAGGTCTATTGTTTTTTAAAAACCGCTGTCTTCTGATTTGTTTGCAAGGATTGATTGATTAAACTTGTAAATATTTATGCTTAAAAACTTACATAAAAATGTATCTATGGAGACACAATTAATGTCCACATAGAATAACATTTTCCACATAATAATATTTTTCCGCCCATTTACAGGAAAAGCACTTAAGTTTGTCCGTGAAAAAGTTCTGACTGTAGAAAATGGAATGAGACGGTCTGTTCCCAAGGTGCTTGTTGTGGTCACTGATGGAAGATCTCAGGATGATGTGAAAAAGTACGCACTGGACATACAGCACTCTGGTAAGCATGTCACACACCCACGCTTTCTGGCTGCAAAAATAGAAACAAAACAGATTATTGTCTTACAAGAATTATGTCTCCTATCCAGTAAGTTATATGGACAATTCGAAAACCGGCCCACAATTGCCAAATTGACCACACAGATGTGGTTAACATAATCAGTCCACACATAACTGAAATTTATAGAAGACTACTAGTTGAACTAAAAACCACAATTTGTTTTAAAATAAGGAGCTGTTGAAATGTCTAAATTCAACCAATGAACCATTTTCATCTATTGTCCCAGCAATCTGAAAGAAGGTGGATTGCCATCCAAGATCTAACACCCTTAACAATTTTGTATCTTTGCTCATCTCCTTCCCTATATCATAGGGGTCTATTCTCGAAGCTGCCGAAGGATCTAGCCGTAGCTTCGGCAGATCCTTTGGCTAGCTTCAGCCCCAAGACCCCTTCGGTTCAGTAGAACCGAAGGGGTGCTGTACGGGCTATTCACTATAGCCTGTACAGCCCCCGAACGTGGCCGCACGGCTCATTCGAGCCGAAAGCATATGCCTCGATCTATTGCAAATTGAAATAGCCAATAGGAATCTAGCAATGCATTCCAATGGGCAAAAATGTTATTTTTTTCTATTTTTACACGGCTCCGTGGCAGAATAAAGAAAAAAAAGAAAAAGCAGTGTTTCTCTCCTGGGTGGCTGGGAGCGGGAGGCTCCCAAAGCGCCTGGGAGAGTTTTTTTTTCTTTTTTTGTTGACGGCAGCAGAACCGCCGGACAATAGAAAACTGTTGGGCAGAGCTAGCTGTCATTGCTAGCTCAGCTCAGCACAATCGTTTTCTATTTACTTTTTTAAAAACTTTAAAAACTATTTTTCTGAATAGGCCGAACAGCAGTAAGTAGCCTGCCGGAGGTTCGGCTCAGCCGATCCAGATGTTGGATCGGCTGAGTCGAACTCCTTCTGCACTTCGGGTCAGCTGAACATGCTGAGCATGTTCGGCCGACCCAAAGCCATGCGAAGCAAGCCGATGTACGGCTGATTTCAGCCGATATACGGCTGAAATCAGCCGTACCAGCCTGAAGTGAATAGCCGAAGTGTTCGGCTCACTTCACTTCAGGTCGGTCATTCACTCGGCTGCCTACGGCAGCTTCGTGAATAGAACCCATAGTGATTGACAGCATAACTTATACAGTGAAAAATAGGGAAAACTGATACATGAGTGCAAAGCAAAGCTCTTCAGGTTGAGAGCTGCCAGTTATTACGTTCTGACAATGAGAAGTGGCCACGCCAGAGTCCTAAACCATATTACCACATAAGAATGAGTGCTAGAGGCATGAAGATTCCATTATTATTATTATTATACAGGATTTATATAGCGCCAATAGTTTGCACAGCGCATTACCAATTACTGCACAGCTACCATGGAAGGGAAAAACTACCAGGGAAAATTTTATCATTATAGCTATCCGGAATGTAAATAGATTGTACAGTTTTTCCTTATATGTAGAAGAGAAAACAAATATGTTGTGGTTCCCTTTGTTTATATATTGTTCTTTGTGTAAAAAAAGATGTCTCTTATTTGTAGTCTCATTGAGGATTTGATTCCTCTTAGCACAAATAAATGGTATGTGCAAGCTTTTTTGATAACATTTATGCATCTATGGGGAGAAGCATGAACTCAATTGTAGATCCCATATATGTTTTGTACTATGGATGGAAGCCAAAAACACAAGTTGGAACAATATTATATATCAGTTTAGATACAAATGCTGCTTTTTCAGCTGTGCTTCACTCAATATAGACTTGGTTAAAGTTATACCTTTTCTTTTCTTTCACATCAAATAAAGTTATTAAAAGCAAATTCCATGCTAAGCCAATACTCTCAATTTGGGTGAATGCCAATATGCTGGAAAACATATGCTGGAAGACCATGCAACTTCTTATGACTCTCATTTGGGTTGTCGTAAGATTATTAAAAACCAAGCATTGGTTAAACCTACTAGCATCCCCATACGGAAGAGATTTCAGTTTTCTCATGGTCATAGTCCCTAGATTTTATTTTAAGAAAACATGTGGGCTTCCATTGCTGAGTGCCCCCAAGATGCTAGTGGCTGTCTCTGGCTTCAGTCAACAAGCATGTAGCAAGCTAGGTCAGAATGAAGTCATAATTCCTCACCTGCATACTTTTTCCAGCTAAGTGACTCAAAATGTAACAGATCTAATAGACTGATACACCACAAGTCTCAGAGACAAATCCTCCTCTGCTGTCATAAAGTGTTCTATACGCATCTTCTGAAGAAGAGTCGATTGCAGCACCAATAAATGCATTGATGGTGTTGACTATTTTGTGATCCATAAATATCCACTTTTTAAAGAAACGCTTCTTAAGCATCTGCTTTCCATATGGGTGTCTCAGCTCACCTCACCTCCAATTCTTTTTTTGGAGACAAACGCCCTTTACCTAATGGATCAGTTGATAGGTAACACATTTCTATTAGTACAGGTTTTTTTTAGATTGCTTAAAGTTAAAGCAATTATTTTCTTTCCTAAAGCAGAATAGTAACAGTAATGTAATGCTGGAACCTTTACTTATGTGCGCATATGTTTGTCCAGTGTCTGTGGTGCCCCAGTGAGAATGTTTTCTATCTAATAATAAATATAATTATTACATTGCTAATATAATTCGGATGTTAACAATGCCTTATGTCATTTTTAGGTTTCAGTGTCTTTGTCATTGGAGTAGCAGATGTGGATTATAACGAACTCCGCGATATTGGCAGTAAACCAAGTGAACGCCATGTATTTATTGTTGATGACTTTGATGCCTTTGAGAAGATTGAGGATAATCTAATCACGTTTGTGTGTGAGACAGCAACCTCAAGTAAGTTCAACCACTGAATGACTAGGTACTCAGACACAACAGTGCATATCAAAGGTTTAGTAATGGGATGTTCAAATAGATAGTAATCTAACTTTCAATCATGGAATTTTGATTTAAACACAATGAAGTTTATTTATTAAAAACCAAATAAGCGAAGGTGTCAAGATAAATGAGACAATAAAAAGAACTCAACCTTATGTCCAATTAAAATCATGGGTGCAAAAATTGAAAAAAGGGCCTCAGTCATGAAGGGGTTAATATTAAACTGATGACTTTTTGCCGTTTTATTGCAGGTTTATCAAAGTGAATTTTTATTGCATCTATCAAAAATACTGTCCAAATATGGACAGCTAATTAAAGCCAAACTACTGCCATGACTTTGTCATTTCAGTTTCAGACGAACTGGGAAAGGGACAAAATATTTGTATAGTTTTGCTGGTTTTGTTCTCGTTGTATACATTTCTCTTTAACTCCAGCAGTTATTGGAAATGGAAGTGAAGAGGACTCTCTTCAACACAGTGCAAAACAAAAAGGACTTTTCCAAATATATTAAAAGGTTATAATCTCAGATCTGGTCTCAGCCTTCCACATTTTTCATGTAAAATACTGTCTGTAGTTCCATTATTAAGTACTACTGAGTTAGCTTGTTCAGAAATAAGTGGAGCAGACAGCCTGCTCCACTACTGTTCAGCACATTTGTACTATGGATAAGCCAAAAACACAAGTTGCACATAGCGGAACATATCCAAGTGATCTATTACATTACCAATACAACTCTCTATCAATTTTCTGATACTATGACATCAGTGGGAGTGCAATGCCAGTTGTTACCAGAACAATTTTCCTCATTTGGAAGATATTCCCTCTATTCTTTTTCATCTGGAAAGATGGGAGAAGGGCCAACATAGTTCTGTTTGGTTTACTTTGGCCTGCATGCTGGAAACACGTTATGAGGCACCTATAATAGTTTCCTAATGCTAAAATAGGTAACAAATACATTTTAGAATCCAGCTTATGCATAGACATTAGATCATTTGTTATTGTATGATAATCATATTGTTTCTAGTAAATTACTTTCTACTGTTAGCCGAGCAATTGCTGTAAGTATTTTCAAATAATTTGACGGTGCCAGGCAGAACATTTATTTGCTTTAGCTGAGCTGAATTTCAAATTACATTGATATCACTTTAAATTAGGTTGCTTATTTCAGGAACAAAGAGAAAACCTCAAAAACCTTTGAATCAATAGTTCAGTTGCAAATGGACAGGGTCCTGCTGACCTTTCTTTCAAGTATACACCAAAATAATTCTAGTAAGCAGGCATCCAATTGACGGTTTAGCTTCTATTATTTCTAGGAATTTCCCAAATGCCAAAAGAATGGCCCAGATTCCAAGATCATAATAAATGACACAATAGGAACTTAATGTCAATAACAAGAACACTATGTGATCTTGTGTAATCTTAGCTTCCATTTACATTGTTAATCCCTGTAGATTTCCTATAAAAGTGAGAATGGTAAGCATAACATTGACAGGTGTATCATGTTATCCAAGCTGCATCTTCTGGTTGTGAGGAAACTGAAATAATATCCACATTACCAATACTTGTTGAAAACGAATAACTGTATGATGCATTGTTTTCTGTAAAAAAGATGACATCACTTTTTATGCTCGATTTTTTCTTTAGGCTGCCCACTTATGTACCTTGATGGATACACATCACCGGGTAAGAGCTGTCATATGCTTATTGAGAAGTCAGATTTGTGAATTTTGTACTGTATAGTTATGGTTATGATTTGCTTTTAGGCTTTAGGATGCTGGAAGCCTATAATCTCACAGAGAAGACATTTGCATCAGTCCAAGGTGTCTCCTTACAACCTGGCTCATTTAACAGTTTCCCAGCTTACAACCTCCACAAAGATGCTTTCCTCTCTATACCTACCTCGTAAGTCCTGTTGGATATATTAAACTTATATCTACCTGCAATGATGGGGATTGCTTACTCAGGTTTAGAAAAAGTTCCCTGATTTGGACCTATCTGTTTTGATATCATCCATCTCTAATGATTTAACAAGAGTGCTTACTGTTGTCACTTAAACATGTTACTGAACAGAAAGTATTAAATCAGCAGTCCACTTACTGTCTATGGAATTTTTAGTGATGATACTTTCATGGCAATGTGCATGACATAGGTCATGATATACAAGAATGTTGACGTCAGTGTGAGAGCACAAAATAAAAGCCAGAGCACATACCAAAATTAATTAACATCACCCAGTATGTAAATACTGTCAGAGTTATTCACAAAAGGGTGAAGAGTTTGGCAAAGGCAGGAGAAGTGAACAATCTAGGACAACACAGCTGAACTGGAAGGTGAGCTGAATTGGATAATTTTTTTCAGTTCAGCTATGTTGTCCTAGATTGTTCACTTTTCCTGCCTCCTCCAACCTCTTCACCCTTTTGAGAATAACCCTGTTTGTTTTCTATTGTCTGTCAAACAGACAGATTCATGTGTAAATTGATTTATCTGATGTAGGATTCAATGTGATGAGAGTTTTGCCTACCAAGGATTTTTCAAATTATATGCCACATCTCACTAAACTTTATAAAAACATTATAATGTTCTTTGTATTGCTTCTTTAAGTCTGTACTTCAAATATTCAGTAAAAAAAGTATGTCTTTTAAATGTTTCTTTATTGCTTCCATTGTTTTAAATACGTTCTACCTGTACCATTTTTACTGTAAATGATATTATACAATGTAACTGGTCTCAAACAGACAATCATATGTAGAAAATAGAGGTTTAGCATTAAATGCGCTGGAGAGTAGCTGATAAAAGACCTTTCAGAGTATCAGCTCAGTAATTATAAACACATTATTTAAAGCATTCTTTTATTTCTGTACAGAGAACTGCATCCCGAGGGGCTGCCACATTCTTACACAATCATCCTATTGTTCCGCCTGCTCCCAGAGACACCCAATGAGCCATTTTCAATATGGCAGATTACAGACAAGGGTTATAAGCCTCAGACTGGAGTGACCCTGGATGGTGAGCGTCTCTATTTCTTAGGAAATATATTTTTATTATTATTAAATTGTATTTCTAATCGGTTAGAATAGCATAACAATGTTTTTTTAATTTACAAGATTAGCTAAATTTAAAAAATATATAGTTTTAATATGTTCCTGTAAGGCTCAATTCACGCATGTACCGTGTTTTGAATACCCTTTACTGCAATTCACGGTAACGTATTAAATATGTGTTTTGCAGTTCATTGCCATTCTGAATGGTACCCCAATGCACAAACACAGTATCACTTCAAGCACCTACACTTCAGTGTACCACAACACATACATGTGAATGCTATGGGCATTGTGGTATGTGGTGTGCTGCCGATACACTTATTTATACATTGAAGCTCCATAAGGGCCCATTCAAAGTAAATGGGTTGTCTTAATGCAATGCATGTCAACACACAAAAACAGGGTTAACATGTGCTTTGGTTAAAATAAATATAGCCTAATAAAAAATAAATATCTATATATTTTGTACAAAATAAGGCATTTGTGCCTCCCTAGAGCCCATGAGGTTGATTTACTATGGGCAAATAGGCTATTCACTTTACAACGGAATTTCCCCTTAGCTTAAAGAATGAGGTGAAGCTCTGCTGACCTTCAATTATTTGCAAGCAAAAAATCCTTTTTTTTTATTTTCCTTGCACATGGTTGAGTATTCTTTGCAAAGTGAACTTTAACTACATTTACTAAATTAAGGGTATATTTCCCTTTCAAAGTGAACAGCCTATATGCCTTTAGTAAATTGATCCCTATTCCTCTTTTAGAGCAAGAAAGCTTCGGTAGCTGCAAACTGACTTAGCGTGCTGTTAATTTATCTATGATGTATAAGTATGGGCAAATCCTTCTCCGTTATCAATTCACTAGGGTTTACACCCTCTAGATTTTATCTTGTATGCTAGTCTTTGCCCCAGAATGCATAACCTTTGCATAAAATAACATAGCATTTGCATGTATAACATTTATCTCCAAATAACCCCATTTGCTGAGTAGCAGCCCATTCACACAGTGCCTGGGTCAGCTTAAAAACTGAAGTTACTACATAGCTTTGTGTCATTGGCAAACACAGAAATTGTACCTTTAATCCCAAACCCAACATTACTTAAAACCAGGTTAAAGAGCAACAGTTCCAACACTGAACCTTGGTGTACCCCACCTACCACAATCCACAATATCTTAATTTACACACTACAAATCTGTGACAAACAGTGTCAACACTTTAGTTAAAACATACTATATTGACATCTACCCCTTTGTCCAAGTTCCTAGTTTACTTCCCCATAACAGCAAAGTAGATTCTCTTGACAGGATCTGTCTTTTATAAATCTATGCTGGCTATTGGTTATCACATCACATGGTAATCACATGCTCTTGTATGTGGTCCCTTACCAATCCTTTGAATGTATTTCATACAGAATTTAAAGTAAATGTTTACTGAGGAAGTACAGGGGCAGCCATTGATTAACTTTTCTGAAAATACTAGTTTGCTGTCTATAATGCTGACCCGATGACTTCAATATCACTACCATGAAGCAAATATGCAGATTATTAGCGCTGACATTTGTGGTTTGTATGCTTGTTTTAGGCCATTGTCTCAATGTTTTAGGCCAGTGTTTCTGTAACCAATAGCCAGGCTATTGGTTTCAGAAAGAGCCAAGCAATAATAGCTCGATACTCCTCTCAGTGCAGATTTCCTCTAAATGTCCTTCTGTCCATTGTAATGTGGTTACTTTAAAGGACTTGCACATTATAGTCCTATTTAGCCACATTCTTTTTATCTTCTTTCCTTTTTTCCAGTACCAAAGAAAGCACTAACTTTCTTCAACAAAGGAGCCACAGGAGAGATTCAGAGTGTTACATTTGATGGTGATGAAATAAAGAAACTCTTCTATGGAAGCTTCCACAAGGTAATCTATTTACAAAACATATATTTTGAAGTAAATCAATTGTAAACTGGCAATTGTTCTTATCAATAAATACTCACATTGCCAAATTGCTTTTCTCTATAGTAAAAAAATAGACCACTTGCTGCAAATAATGTAGCCAAAGAGAGATGTTCTTTTATAAATGAAAATGTGTACCACTTCTCTTCTATTGAGATATAATGGTACTCCTTGTGCACTACTGTATCTTAATGGATGGCGTTGTCCCCACCTAGTGATGTATCAGCAGAAGGGAAAATACCACTTTTCTGGTCATAAAACTTTTTGTGTTGCTATAGGGAAAGGTCTAAAGCAGGGGTCCCATTTTATACAGAAACATAGCTCAAACTATTCATGTTGTTTAGAATGCACATATTACTTCATAGTTAATTTTGGAATGAGTTACTCATAGTTACTCATCTTCTTTTCACATATTTGGTTGTTTTCTCCCCTGTGTGTACTTTGAAAGAGTCTGTGAAGGATTTGTTAAAAAAATTACCAGTAAGCATTATAACAGCTGTGTTACTATCTGTGGTGGTCCAAGCTTCTTCCTTGGTTTGCAGGAGTTTGGCTGTAATCTACAGAAAATTCTTAATCTGTTTTGATGTCTGACCTTCTTGCAAATGTGTTGTTTAGAGCAGTTCAATAACCTTGCTGTCAGAATGTAAAATCTTATATTTTGTTATTGCCAACATTCTGGCTATTTTCGACCAGTATCCGCTGGAAGCAGTAATATTTCAACTTTGAGGACTAACTAAATGTTCCCTTGAGGCTGAAAGGACCAGCTGAGGCTTACCTTCATTCCATAATGTTGGAGGAAGATCCACAGAACTGTAATAGTAGCGGTAAAAAGAAGTTTTCTTGTGCCCTGTGGTAGACAGATAAAGTGGGAAGATCACTAGGTATTCAGATGGATTTGGAAAGAGTAGAGTGATTTTCATAAAGTATGCATTTCTTTCAGATAATAAATCTCAGGGAACAATATTTTAGATGTTAGGAATGTTATCCCTGGATAATAACTGCTAACTTCTAGTCACAGTTATATTGTGAAAGCTATTGGCCTACAAAGGCATAAATGGTGGTCATTAGGTCCATAATGCAGCCTTCAGGTCAGGGCTAATACACACACACACACACACACGTATTTTTTTACATTTTCAATTCTGTTCTTTTTTGTCTTTATCTGAATTAATTGTATTTAAACCTAGACAAATATATATGCATTATATACACTGATCAGCCATAAGATAATGACCACCAATATCGAGTAGGTCCCCCTTTTGCTGTCAAAACAGCCCTGACTATTGAGGCATTGACTCCACCAGACCTCTGAAAGTATGCTGTGGTATCTGGCACCAAGCCGTCAGTAGCAGATCCATTAAGTCCTGTATGTTCAAGTCGGATCCATGTTCCTCCATGGATCAGACTTGTTTTTCCAGCACATCCCACAGAGGCCTGAATAGATTGAAATCTGGAGAATTTGGAGTAAACACCTTAAACTTGTGGTGTTCCTCAAACCACTCTTGAACCATTTTTGCAGTGTGTTAGGGTGCATTATCCTGCTGAAAGAGGCCACTGCCATCAGGGAATACCGTTTCCATGAAGGGGTGTACTTGGTCAGCAACAATGATTAGGTAGGTGGTAGATGTCAAAGAAACATCTACATAAATGGAAGTCCCCAATGTTTCCCTTTAGAACATTGCCCAAAGGCTTCTCACTGCTTCAGCCAGCTTGCCTTCTACTAAATCCTAGTGCTTTCTCTTCCCCAAGCAACAAAAAAAATGCATATCCAGTGATCTTAAGCCTACAAAAATAGTTTCTGGGACTGTAGTTGGGAACGAGTCCAAAAGTTTTGTGTGTCTGTTCTGAAGCAGTGTTAAGAAACAACAAAGACAACCTTCCAACACATTTTTTTCATGTGCTAGAGATAAAGTTGCAGCCATAAAATGGCTTTTGCTTCTGTTGACCTTTCTTTACTTTTTCACTGAGCAGCTTCCCCTGTTGGTTCTGTAAATTAAGAATTTTGACGTTATGATACAGTACATATCACTCTAATTATTTTCATATCGATTGTTAGTCTTCCAGAGAAAGATAATGAGTTGAAACTTGGCCTGCAAGAGGCATTTTGGCATATGTAGTGGATTTTTACAGCTTTCTGCTTTTTAGCTGCTAAACTTGGGATGTCATTTGCTGCTGGGAAAGGTTTGGCTTCTAATACTGAAATGTGAGTTTCTTTAAAAGGCAAATAGACTTGATTGTTCAAGTTCTCAGGAAGCCAAGGATTTCACTTAAAGTCTGTCTTGTGGTAGTAGTAGTCAGCTGCTTCATGGGATCATTCACATTTTCCTTTCCTTCTCTTATATGGACTTTTATGTGGTTTACATGACTAAACAGTAGTTATTGTTGCATTTTAATTTTTCCCCCCTTAATTTAGATGTCTGTAACTGAAGTTGTATAGTCTGTAGTCATGGTTTCTAAAGAAATGAGAGATTCCAGTTTGACATCTCATCCAAACAGTTTAATAAAAAAATTATTTTTACATATTTTTTACATTATTTTTTCTCTCAGTTTTTTTTTTTATTTTTACAAAACGTGAATTCAATTTCCTTATATAATTAAAAATAGTCAATTTAATTTGGATGCAAATATATGGGCAGTAAACATCAAACTTAAAGGAAAAGTCTATCTATAAGGTGTCTTTACTTTTTTATAGAGTAAGGAAGGTTGAGGGCTCATTTACACTGCCTTGTTGCAATCAAATATGCGTTACCACAATGAGAGGCTCAGGCAGAAATGGTAAATGACTATGCCTATGCCCCATGGACTGTGTCTTCTACCATAAGTTAATTTACAATTTTTCAGTAACTTCAGCTGCTTATATCCATGCTAAATCCACTGATCATGTTGACTTTTCATGTTTTTGCGGAATATCCCTTCCTTGTAAGCATTTTTTAAAATCAAATGTTTAGTTTAAATTAACCATGTGAGAGGCTCCTGGATCCAAGAACATTTCCTAGCGGAGGAGATTCATATGATCCGGAGGTGGAGGAGGCCAGGTATTGAATGGGTGGCATGGTGGGATGTCTCGTCCCTGACGTTGATAGTCTCCCCTTGGGTCACGTTCCTGGCCACCGGGATGTCTCTGTACATATCTTGGAGGAATTCGACAATTCCTTCTGAAATGTCCGGGTCTCCCGCAGTTGTAACAGGCTCGTGGGTTTCGTGTGGCTGGTGGCAGGTAGGGTGTGTCAGAGGTCATCATGAGAGAAGCTACCTTCCTACAACTTTGTAATAATTCTAGACCCTTTGCTACTAACAGCAAGGTATCAAGGGGCAGTACCCTGTACTCTGGGCGTGATAGGAGGAGCCCTTTCTTGATTGGCGGAGGACAGCATTTGGGTGTGTGGCGGATTGACGGAGGACAGCATTTGTGTGCTTTATTTTGCATGTTAAATCCTAAGTCAGTAAACACCTGTGAAAGTCTAGTGTGGAATTTCTCAACAGATTCAGCTCTGTCTTGTATAATGTCCTGTATGCTAGTGGCTTGGTCTGCCAGGCGATCTCGCGCCCAATGTTGCAGTTGGGCTACGAATTTGCACCCCCCGAATCATATGTGTTATCAGCGGGTATCCTGTCCTCACTGAAACATCTTTCCATCACCGGCCAGTAGGCATCCCCTGCCCTTATTTCACACAGGCTCACCAAATCTCGCCAAGCGGCGGCATACGTTTTCTGGATTTGGGCTATCTTTCTGTAAAATGGCATGGGGTGTCTCTCAGGATCTGGTAGACTGTTCACAAGGGAAGAGGCTTGGCTAGGGGTGAATTTTATATACATTAAAGGCGCCCCTTGGGCTGCAAAGATGCCCCTTGGCGCAAGGGGCGGATTACCAGGTTGTTGCAATGGTTCCTGCAATGGATTACGGGGAGAGGCAAATTGCAGGGTGTCACGTGAATCACGGGTGATGTTCCAGGTGTTCCAGACAGGTCTACTGAGGATTCACCGGCAGGTGGGGGGTATATTTGGGCATTGTAAGGCTAGCCGTGGGAGTAGCCAGTCCTGGGAGGTGGTGACTACCTGGGTTTGCCTTGGCTCGGGCACCTGAGAGCGGGTGGGTGAACAGGTGCGATGTGCCCCCTAACATTATGGTGGGGGCAGAGCTCGGAAGGGGATGTCTAGGGGGGAGGTAAAGCTGATTCCACCTAGGCGCCAAGGCTGGATTTGGTGTCAAATCCCCTATCCTAGGGGGAGGGACATTCAGAGAGATGTTAGGTTTCTGGGCTCGAGCCCCAAGATCATCATCTGAGTCACCAGCTGCCTCCTCTCCCTCTTCTTCCCTGATGGCGGATTCCTCTACCATCATTAGTGGGGTGCCCTGAACCACCCTGAAATATGCTCCAGACTGGTCTATTACAGGATACAGGGGGATGGGCACTGGGGCTGATGACTCGGGTCCTTCAGTACATGACTTGGGTGCCTTAAAATGGCCGCCACCGGAAGGTGTCATTGAGATTCCGGGTGGAGTGAGAGCAGCAAGATGGCTGCCGGCTGGGGGTGGGAGTGGAGCACTTGGAGTGGGATGGAGCTCGGTGGGAGGGTCAGATAATGAGGAAGCTGCTGGAGGAGACGAAGAGGAAGTAACCACCGAGCCACCATAACAGGGCGGTGGCACATAGTAAGTACCATGTTGCAGTTTGCGCAGGCGTTCGGCCATTTGGGATCCTGTGCCGTACATGTGGGACATACCCAGGAAGAGATGCCTCCATCATAGGGTGGGGGCTGGCATTTTTCAGTTAGCGTGAACAATGATTCATTCTCGCTGGCACATTGGTAATACATACATACGGTTTGTTTTCCCTGCTGCAGCTGCTGCTCTATCTAATTTTCTTTGTGGATAGCCTTGGCCACATTATACCAGGCTTCCGCTGCCTTTAACAAGTTATTGTCATCTAAGACATTTTCTCTTTTAATAACTTCCGATACTC